AGTTGTAAAAAATTATTATTCATTTTGGTTACTTAAAAAATTTGAATACACTTCCAAAGTTTTCAGAATTTTCTTATCTTATGAGTACTGCCAAGGCTTTCCCAGCCTCTTGGGTTATTTGAAAGTAAAATTTGATTCATTAAAAAAAATATATATATATATATAGGGCCCTCCCTTGTGGTGCAGCGGGTTAAAGCACAGCACAAAGAAGCTTAAGTCTGTTCCGCATGAGTTTCAATCCCCGCGCCCTGGAGGAGACCCACATGGCGAGGCAGACCTCTCCTGACCCGCCCGCTGCTCCCCTCAGCAGTGTACTTCGTGGATCTGCCTGTTCTGCACCCCACTCTGTCTCTGGTGAATCCTCTCACCCTCCGCATCTCTGGCCTGTATCCCAGTTCTGTACGAATAAATAAATAAATCTTAAAAAAAAAAAAAAAAAAAAGAGAGAGAGCTTCTTGGTGGCTCAAGGGGTTAAAGTCTCAGTGCTATGAACCTACGAGGGGGAAAGGATTTTCTGAGGGAGCTCTACAGATACAGGTTTTGTGGACAACACTCCCACCCCAGATACTGGAACTACAAATCCAATCAACACCAAAGAGAAGCATGCTGGGACCTGAGGGTGGAGCTAAGCAGCCAGGTTTGGATATAAAATCGGACACGTGAGCTTTGGGAGGCTCTTGGCCTTGCAGCTTATTTCTCTGGGCTCTTCACCAGTTTGCAGTATGCTATTGGGGTTCTAAGTCAGTGGAACTGGTAGGACGCATTAAAATCAACTCATCTCTCTCTTTCCCCCAGTTATTTATTTCCCCTTTCCCTTGTAAATAAACCCATTATTAACCTTTTTGTGTGTGCCTGAAGTTGAATCTTAAGTGCGCCAGTGAGGACCCACAGTCAGGCAACCCTGTTCACATTGAGTTGCCTTGTAACAAACCCCTGTGGCAAGGGCTCTATCCCCAATCGGGGAAGACCCATTTGGCACAGCAGACCTCTCCTGTCTTGCCTGCTGCTTCCTTCAGCAGTGTACTTCAGTGTTCTGGTTCCCCAATCTGTCTCTGGTGATTCCAGTAACCGCCCCCCACCTCTGGCCTACACCCCAGATCTTGTATGCCTAAATAAATAATAATAAATCATTTTTTAAATAAAATAATAAAGCAAACTCTAGGGCAAACCCTACCAAATTAACTTTTAAAAGAAGTATAATTATCCATTCATATGTGGACAATTCATTCATGACAAGTTAATCAAGAATAAATAGTGAGGAAAGTATTGTCTATTAAATAGATGGTTTGGGGGAAACAAAACAGACACATGGCAAACTGGATTGATACCTTAAACTATACACAAAATTTAATTTAAAATGAGTTAAAGTCTTGAATATAGGACAGAAAACATAAAGCTCCTAGAAGGAAACAGATGGTGAGCTCCTTGGTAGTCTTGGTAATGACGTTTTGGATTTGAGAAGGAAAGCACAGGCAACAAAAATGTAAAAAAATAAGTAAGTGGGACTACATCAAACAGAGAAGCTTTTGCATAGGAGAGGAAAACAACAAGATAAAAAGGTGACTTAGGCTAACATCTAGTTGATGGAAATGAGCTTCCACAAGCTATCTTTGGGTATAAATTTGACCTGTTTCTTTCTTGGTTTATGACATGTACTTTTGGAGAAGAACTAGCAAATGATACAAGGTTTTATAAGTGACAATTTTGACAAATATTTTTCAGTATAAGAATTGTAAGTGCGGATACAGAAGTCATTAATGATCCTTTAGAGGTTTACTTGCTCTCTCTTTAATGTACTGTCTTGGGTCAAATGTTATTTTTAAAATTTCTCGTGGGTTACCAAGAAACAGAATCTAGGTAATGTTTGCCAACTGTCTCTCGGAATTATCTGGGAATAGAATTAGGGGTCCTTATTGCATATTGGGAGGATCCCTTGGTAGGTTAATCTAAGAAAAAAAAAAACATGTGGACCCCTTTTCTCTTGTTAATCCGTTCTAATTCTTAATTAAGTACTAATCAAAACAATCATTTAAAAAATTCAGTATATTCTAGAAAAAAACCTCCAATGGCAGAAATAAAGTTCCTTTGCATTAAATGATGATTAATTAGATCTTGCTCACAAATTAAGTGGGCAACTATGGTTTCTAAGAGCAGTAAGTATCTCACTTCACTTTCTGGGTTCCTTTTTTTTTTTTTTTAAGATGTATTCATTCTTGCATATAGAACTGAGGTCAGAGTTGCAGGGGCGGTGAGAGGACTCACAGAGACAAAATGAGGTGCAGAACAGACAGAATGACCAAGTACACTGCTGAGGGGAGCAGCAGGTGGGACGGGAGAGGTCTGCTGTGCCATGTGAGTAACCTACAGGGCTGGGGAATCTAACTTGCACTGAAGCAACTGTGGCTTGATGCAGTGCTTCGCTTTAACCTGCTTTACCACCAGGTATGGCCCTCTGTGTTCCATATTTTATTTCTCCACCTCTACCCTAGAGTCCACACATTAACATCAATAAATTATTATGTAGCATATTCACCCGTATATTCACCCGTTTATTTCCTCCTCCTCCCCTCCCTTCTTACATGTAGGTATCCATCCATCCAGTCACACTAAACTTGATCACTAAATAATTATTAAATACACTCATTTTATTTATCCATTCATCCAAGCACCTTGAAAGTAATCAACTACTGAACACACACGCACAAAAACACCCTCACATTTTTATCTAGACAGCCAGCCAGCCAGCCAGCCACCCATTCATCCAGGCACGTTGAAAGGAATCAGAAAATTATTAAATACATAAATACATATACAACAAAAAAACCATATACACATCTATTTGCATATTTTTGTACATACATCTAAAGATATTAGGTGTAATCAAGATATTGTTATTGAATACATATACAGAGTTCATCCATCCATCTATCCATCCATCCATCTTCTCTACATATATTCAAAGAAGCCCCAAAAGGTGGGGGTTGGGTATACACTTAATTTCTTTGAGAAAATATTAGATGTTTGGGAAAGAAGTTATATATTTTATAGTTATATTTTCCCATTCTATTATGTGTTATAAACTCAAAACCATTCAACTTAGTTCTATGTTTTGATGAAAAACTTTAACCTCCCCCATATCATCAGGTTTTGTAGCTCTGGATTTATCTGTAACTTATTAATGTATTTGATGAGTTATAGACCAAGAGTGATTCTTCCAACATAATATTTTTTGAAAATTTGTGTATTTTCCCATTCCTGTGTTGCTTTGTGTTATGAATATAGTTGATTTGCATCAGGTAATTCAAAGCTCCAATCAATGAAACACAGACCTCTTAAGATTGACCAATACATGTACATTTCTGTGTTTAAAAGCATTATCTTAATTTTAACTAGTTATTATGATTATGACTGACCTCTAATATACATGGTTTCAACAAATATAACCATTGCATTTAAATTTAATGGTCTGAATGAGCCTTGTGATGCAGCTGAATATTCCGATGCAGTGTAATCTGAGATCCTTTTCTTGTTTTTCCTTAGTTTTATCTAATTATGTGACTTATGGAGGGGGGTGGAGCTTGGCTGTAATAACAGCAGTAAGTAGGCTAATCAATTTCCTTTCAAAATGATGTGTTTAGTAACTTCCACACCATGTTGTTTAATTATACAGAACCCTCCCCCAAAGCAGGCATTTGATGAGTAGTTGATTGTGTCCCAATTCCCAATTTCCCAAATTCCACCCACATAACCCTTAACACAATGTAACTCTAAAATCTGGGCTGGTTGGACAAATGTTCAGTGCAGTCAGTCGTGGGTTTTCACCATTAAACCCAGATTTCTTCATTAGTCACTATCTTCCATCCTTTCTCCCAGTAAACCATTCATGTGTTCACTTTCATATGAATGCAGCAACCCTTTGAAACTGGCACATACGAGTTCCTTTTTGGGGTTTCTATATACAACTTATTCTACAACTCTAACATATTTTGAGATCTGATGGGATGATTGCCTCATGAAACTCATTTGCCACTTTTCTTTAGACGGATTTCACAATTACTCTAACGATATTTTACTGTTAATTGGTATTTTAAAAACCTGCATATAACTTCCCACACATCACTACCTCACTTCATTAGGAATGTCTTCCTTTTGGTTTATTCATCAGTTTTTCTTTTAAAGTGGAGTAATGTTTGCTTACACCATTGTTGGTATTTTGGGAATATAGGGTCCCACTTCAGGTGTAATTATTGTAGTGTTCCCTGCTTCCTTCCCCCACCCCCACCAATCAACCCAGCCCACCACATGGTCCCATTGTCTTCCCTTTCCATTTTTCACTCTCCTCCCCTCCCCTTCACTACTGTTTTTTTATAATTTTCTACTTATAAGCCTCAAGTATTTCAAGTAAAATTGGTAATTTTGAAATTTTTATGTCAATGGGGTTAATATTAATGGCATGGCTTTAAGTTCTTCAAATTAAAATAGGGTTTCTATTGATTGAGACAATATTGTATGCCTTTGTTTTATATGTTTAGTTTTGTAAATTATAAGTTTTCTGTATTATGCCAATGAAGTCTCAATTATATGACATTTATGTAAAAGTTTTGCAGCTAAAATGTCATTATTTATTTCCTGGGATTATCTGAGTTTATACTTGAAACTGGGTTACTTGATGTGTTTTCTACACCACCTCCCCCCCCTTCAAAATTTATCACCCACCCCACCTTTCCCATCCCCTTTCCCTAAACTAACCCCCACACTTCCCTCCACCCCACCACTCCCTTAATTTTTCTGCCCACCTTCCAGCTTTTTTCATTCCTTCTCCCTCCCACTCCCCCCACTCCACCTTCCTTCTACCTCCCCTCCCATAACCCACAAATCCCTACTATGCTTTCCCTCCCCCACCCCACTATCCCACTCCCCTCTACACTTTCCTTCCTCCTCCCCTCTCCTCTCCCCCAGTTCCCTTGATGTCAGCAGACGCTAAAATGATCAAGACACAGTTTGCACTTAACCACTAAATCTTTATTAGTTGAATTTTTATTATAACATCAATACAGTATTAGTAATAGAGAGAAATACAGAGTAAAGAGAATACAGCAATATAATGGGGTGGGGTAGGGTAGGGAGGTGGGTGAAGGGTAGGGAAGAGGGAGAGGTAAAGAGAAGGGCTACTGACAGGGGTACAAACATGGGTTCTTATCCATCACTTTCCTGTACTTCCATGAATATTTACCATCATTATCAATTCTATCCCAATAACAATTTCTCAAAGGGCATCCGTAACTCGCTTAAGGGCTTTGCTCATATTTTTAATCGCTGGAAAATGTCCAGGGCAAAGAGCCTCTGTATAATTATTTATCCAATCACTTTTGAACTGTCTCCCACTACAGTTTTATCCATGTCCAATTCTCCCTAAACAGGTTGACCTCCCTGCAGTTCCTTCCAAGTTTATTGGAAATTTTTTGGGGTAGTAATTAGGGTGAAAGGATACAAGTAAGTACACGTGTCCACTTAGAGAGATATCTAATAGATAGCATGCTAACTTTTTAACTAATCCCTCCCACTTAAGATTACTTCACAGCCCCTCCCATCCTAAAATACTTATGATTATATATACCCCCTATTACTTAAATGATTACATAAAGAAATAAAAATAATGAAACTTTCCACAGACCAATCTGATCACATTCTACAGTCTGACACAACAAAGAACTTTCAGTCCCACCAGATGTAATTCTTTCTTGAGATGAAAATGTAGCGTGGTTCTCACAGACTTGCCATCTCTGCGGGTGGTCCTTCACTTCTGCCCAGGTCTTTCCAGCAGAGTGTCCTCTGTTGCCAATCTTGGTATCGTATCTGATGTTCAATGTCTGTGGCAGATGACACCAGATCAATTTAGGCGTCCAAGAGGTATCTGCAAACTTAAACAGAAATCCAGACTGCACTATAAAGATGGGCCCCTCTTAATATGTGCACCTTCAAGTTCACCAACTAATAATCCATCTTCCCATACAAATACCTCATTGATCAAACTAAATTGACCCTTCAGAAATGAGTATAAACTTCCTGTTTCCATTTCCCTGGATGATGACCTTCAATATTTCTCTCCAGATTCGCCTGACAATGGGAGCTCACCTCTTCCTAATTTTTTCCTAATGAACTGCAAATTTGAGCCAAAGCCCATCAGTTTTGCCAATTTGTTTTAATGAACTATTGGCTCTGCTTGAAATTCTGATGTTTTGGTTTATCTCTTCTACATTTTTATTTTGCTCCCTTTTAAACTTCTCAAGCTATGTCATTACTTAGCTTTTCCTTTTCATATGAATAAAGGCATTTTTAATGGAAAATGCCAAAAAAATTTAAAGTGTCCAATTAAATTGATCAACAGCAACAAAATAAATCAACTGAACAAAAGGAAACTTAACAAAAAAAAAATCAACGATTGAAAGGAAACTTAACAAATTAAAGTGATTGAGTAAAAGGAAACTTACAAAATTTTATACTATAGAATATATTTGAGATTACTTATCCTTAACATCTACATTTATAGATAGTATATATAGTAATAGCGCATAGTACACACTGCCAAAGTCTTTCACAAGCTTTTACTAATGAACCAAACATGTCAGGGACGTCATCCATGAGTTGTTAACCCACACCACCATGCTCTCCCTGACTGCTGTTGACTGCTGTTGCCGTCGCTGTTCAACTTCTTCAGATCTTTGCTTGCAGTGATGGCAAATGTCCGTGTGCCCATGCTGGGGCTGCAGACTGACCCATTTCTAGGCCTGCTGCAGCTTGAAGATCAATTGACAATTGTTAAGATTCACATAGAACAACTCGAATTCAAATAAATGGAGAATGGATTGATATTGAGGTAAACTGAAGTGACGCTTCAAAATAGTCCAGAAGCACAAATGCACCATTTTAAAAGTAATTACTCTAAAACACATTGAGTGACTGACAAGCTTTCACATTCCATTGAAAAAATAAAAGAAGTAAAGTTGTTTGGATTAAAATAGCCAATCAGGAGTCTTCCAATCAGGAGACTTTTTGAATTTGTGTATCCTGTTGTGTGGTTTTAAAATTCCCAATTAATAACACGTAATTACATAGTTTAAAATAGATTGAGATGAACAGGACGGGCTATTACGCAAATACTCCAGTTTCGAAGAGCCTCTCATTCACAGTGTTGTAAGAGAAGTTCACAGTAAAGAAGTATTTTTCACTAAATCACTTATCATTTTTAATTAGCTTAACTCTAAGAATCGGGTAATACTTTGCAATTCAATGGAAATTAATTTTGAAAGCAGAGTCACCACTTAAAACACTGTTAAAGGACATGACTAACCTACAACTAAAACTTTTAAGTATTATAACATGCAATAAGGGTGGGTAATAGTGAATATGTGAAAGATGATGTTGATGAAATGAAACTTCACCATTGGACTCCTCTTCGTGACAGGTAATCTGAAATAAAAGCCATGTTGTTTTCTACTGCTCAAACTGTTTTGGAAACTGGAGACGGGTGTGTTGAAACTCAGGCTCCACGAAGCCCTCCTCTTTCTTCTTGGTGCTTGGCAGCCAAATGGAGTCTCAGCAACCAGGCAGGAAGGGTGACACAAATCCTGCAGGAGGGTTAATGGCAGTAGTAAAGAATTAAACAGAAAGAGAGAGGTTAGACAAACAAGTCAAGGTAGTAGCAAGGGACCAGGCGAAAGGAAGTCAGGCAGTCCCAGGTTGGCACAAAGCCTCCAGGAGACATCAGCCGATGTCACTGGATTGAGGACAACTCTTGTGTTGTCTGCTGCTTAGAGTCACTTGAGTTGCTTTCTAAGGCCTTCCACTCATTGGCAGACTGTTGGCTCCATCCCCTTGTAGGGAGACCCCTTTCTATGATGCAAACTCTGATCCTTTTTAAGTGGATACATGTCCAGTGCCCCCAATTCCTCTTCTTCCAAGACATCCCTCCCAGGCATAGGAGTGTGGGTCTGGGTGCTAAAATCTTTTCCCCTCCATTAAGCATCTTAATGCTCAGTCTAGTGAGGGGACTGGTGATGAAATGCCCAGATACATATGGAGGCAGAGACATGGATAGATGCTTCCAAGACTTCCGGTGATGCTTTCGTAACCAACTAACACCCGTCGAGATTCTTCTGACGTATCAGCACAAGTTGATCACATTAATTCAGAGTTTCATTAAAGAGTTGGGTACAGGACTTAGGAGTCTTTCTATTTGCTAGTTAGCCCTCATACGTGACTGAGAAGTGGTCACATTTCACAAACATCTAACACACCTGGGGCCACCAATAGTCTCTGGTTACCAGGTTTAACATTTTGTGGACGCCACAGCTGGCATGATGATGGTAAGGTGTTGTGATAAAGCCAGAGTTCTTGGGTACATGTGATTTGCACCAGGATGTGAAGGCACACTCTTAACATGCAAGAGTCCGTCTGAGAGGGCACTTCCTACTCAGGCCTGAGGTGTTTCTGTTGCAGGGGTTCTGTCTGCTCCTGGGAGAACCGGTCGAGTTGCTGCTCCTTGAGAATTAACGGAACCATGAAAGTGGAGTTTGAAGATGGTGAAGTTTCTAAGGGTGCAGCAAAAAGATCACGGAAGCCATTTCACACTGCACCAATAATTTTGGCTTCCTAAATAAGGCGTCGGTCCTCCAGTGATGTAGAGAGAGTACCGAAACTGCAAGAAAAGTCATGTCCTCCTCCTCCTTGACTCCCCCTCCTTAAAGAAAACAGCATCTCCTGTGTTTGTATCAGCTTCTCTATAATTATTAAAGGAAGAATCTGGCAGCCAATAATTCAGATGGTGACAGAGGTTTCAGCAGGTAAAACATCAATGGAAAGTAAACTTTCCAAATTTGAGAATGGCAGTCAGGTTGGAAAACTGAGAGAGAATTTGTTGGTAAGTACTCTGTGGCTCCCAGGATAGGGTTTGGTACTTTAGGGGTGTGTGCTAGTCCCGGGTGGCCTTGACCTTCAGTAGCCATTTCAGAGAGGCTGTGCCTTGGGCTGGCCTGAAGAGGCAGTAGTCCAGTTTAGCACACAGTCACTGATTGAGAAGCTGAGCAGGAATCAGTTTTGAGGGCGGAGATCCAGAAGGACATGACAGGTATTTACATGGTGCTGTAAGATGGGGGTGGGGGTGGCGGCGGCGGAGGTGGTGGCGGCTGAGGAGGCGGATACTGGGGTACAGGAGGCTGGCGGTACCAATGCGGATTCCAAGTGATCATCACAGGGACATAGAGCGAGCGTCCATGTCCATCTCGTCCCACTGGGTACCACGCGAATCCTACCGGGTAGGTCGGGTAGGTGGCGTAAGCGGGGTACGTTTGGTATCCAGGTACTTGAGGTACGTATTCAGCGTACGTCGCCAGGTGGGCTTGATCATCCAAGTTTGGAATAGAGAGTCGAGGATACTGATTCTGGATCGTGAAATTATTGGGAGCTCGGCAATCATAAGAAACTTGCAGTTTCCATCCTCTCTTCACTTGGAGCACCTGGGCCCCATTAGGCGCAATTGTGGGAGTAATCAGCCCATCTTTCACATTTCTGGCCACAAAATCTCGCAGAGCCGCCATTTCTGGTTCGGACAGTGAGTATACATGCCCGCTGGGAATACTGTGTGCTCCAGGTATCATTTCTATGTTTGGGTCCACCAGGCGGTGATCTGGGTAGACGTGTTCATCCACTGGAGTGTACACATTCTGGACATAATAATACCTCACTGGTTGGTAAACTCTGTATCCATCTACTGGATAGTAAAAGGATGGCTGTGCTGGTGGTGGGAGCGGCGGTGGTATTGGAGAATACATCCGGCAGTGGTATCGGCAATATTCAGAATCGAAGACAATCGATCGGGTGCTCCAGGTGATGTTGGGATCGTGTGTGCTCAGCCAGCGCACCCCCAGGACGACAGGGAAGAACGGAGACTGAGTCACATCGAATGACAGCACCTCACGGTGATCTCCCAGGTCAACGATCAGGTCATGGGTTTCATGGACAACTGGGCCCGATGCTATGGGACGTCCATCAATCGCTTCCACAAGTATTGGCCAGTCCTTGACTCTTAGTGGAATTCCATTTTGGGCAACATATTCGTGATCAATGAAGTTGCCAGAAGCACCAGAATCTATCATGGCTCGGACGAACAGGGTGTGTCTGCCCGGAAGATGAATCTGGAGCATCACTTGCAAGTGTGGAGATGAAGCATCATCTTGTGGGGACCTTATTATTTCTGGCCCGGTCGCTGAAGGTCCCTCTACAGCGGGGCCGGGGAGTTTCCCGCCGGCGAAGCCTTTGAGGCCTTGGCAGGACAGTTGTCGGCGTAGTGACCTCCATTCCCACAGTAGAGGCAAAGGTTCAGCTTTCTGCGTCTTTCTTTTTCTTCCTGGGTCAGCCGCATGCGGGCACCTCCCACCGGCTCAGTTGGATCTATCTGGTGGTGGCTTGTGATGTGAGGCAACACCAGCGCACGGGGTGGGGAGCGTGGCTTGCGAGCTGCGGCGGCCCGGGCCAGCCTTCTCTCAATGTGGATGCACTGGCCAATCAGTGCTGACAGCGACTTGGCAACTTCGAGGCGGGACAGCTCTGCCTGAATGTGGTCGCTGAGGCCCTCATGGTACTGGTCAATCAGCGCAGGCTCATTCCAATCCAGGTCCTGGGCAATCATCTGGAAAGCATTGGAATAGTCCACGACTGACCCCATGCCCTGGCGCAGACGTCGGATCTTGCGCTTGGCGGCCTCTCGCCTCTGAGGGTCTTCGAAGACGTGCTTCATTTCAGTCATGAAGGCTGGGTAGTTGTGCATCAGGTAGTGGGATCGTTCCAGTTTGGCTGAGGCCCAGCGAGCAGCACGACCAGTCATCATGCTTGTCACGAAGCAGACTCGGACGCGATCGACAGAGAAATCTCGGGTGCTCTTTTCCATGAAGAGCTGGCACTGGGCCATGAATGGAACCAGCATGTCTGGGTTGCCATCAAACTTCTCTGGAAGGTCATCTGGGCACTCTTCCTCGATGGGAGTGGGTGGGGCAGCAGCCGCTGCAGCACCACAGAGCTCGATGTCATCCTCCTCTTCCTCAGGGGCAGGTTCCACTTGCTCCCGAAGGGAGGTGTTCTCCTCTGTCAGCTTTTGCACCTGGTTCTGCAGGTTGTTGTTCTCCTCGGACTGCTTCATGACCTTCTCTCTCAGGTTGTTGATCTCTTCAGAGAGATCGTCCCGCCTGCGTTCTGCCAGGTTGGGATTGTACTGGCCCCTTTGGCCACTGCGTGAGGAGGATGCTCCAGAGGAGGAGGAGGCAGAGGAGGATGGGGTGTTGGGATCGTTGGGGGGAGGAGGAGGAGGAGGTGGTGGGCAGTCGGGCCCCAGGGTGACGGTTGGGATGGGAGGAGTCCTCCCGGATGTAGCTTCACTCCTGTGGGGATGGAGGCCTGGATCCTGGCCTCCTCTTCCACCCCTTCTTCTCTTTGTTTTCAAAAGCTTTTTGTTTCTGTAAATGAGGATAAAAGCATACATTTAATTTATACTTTCAAAGCAGCACAATACAAATTTTGGCACTTAAAACTATCAACTAACATACCTTAAATACATTAGCATTTAAAATACCTATACTTTCAAATACATTAATATTTAAAGTATTCGAAGTAATTTTTCTCTACTTTTTTTATAGTAAGAAAACCCCTGCAAGAAAAAAATTTTTTTTAATGTTCAGATGACCTATTCCACTCAAAAGTCACCTGCTCATTTTGACCCAATAATACATAAGTACACAAACAGCACCGCTAACTTCACTGACTGTAACACTTCACAAACAAGTAGTTTTGTATCTAAGGGAGCAGGGCAAGAAACTTTCAAGACAAAGAGAGATAACCAGTTAAAAATACAAAAAAAAAACAAACAGCGAAGTGGTCAACTGTGATTAAAGAAATTACATGAAAATCAGAACTCTAGGGGGAGTTGGGCACACCAGCCAGCTGTCACCATCCAGATCCACCCCACATAGAATGTTAACTAGTTATCAAAACAAACAATAACCACAAAAACCACAGGGTTGTCTAAATCACTTTGCTGACCACAGTTGGATTTCCCAAAAAGAACTCTCTGTGGGACAGAAATGGCACTGAATAGCAACATGTGTGTATCAATTTCTCTCATTATGCAATCAACAAATGTTCATTAATGCTTTCTAGGAATAGCTGGTTTATAAAACAGAACATTTTAAGAAGCCTAGTAATAAGTATACCTCAAACTATAATGAGGATTTAATTAAATAATGCAAGTTAAGCACACAGTAAATGTATTGCTTGGTATTATTAAATTATGAAAAAGAAAACACAGGTTTCTTTGCAGACATGAGGATTAAAATGGGGGAGGGGCTGCAATTATTGCACCCTGGATGTGCATGTCCCATCTAAAGTTATTTAAATATTAAAATATATATATATATATATATATATAGTATGGGTTAAACAAATTCAGGGCATCATTTGTTTTAAAGGTCAGATTGTTTTTAGAACTGCCCAATGCCAAAATTTGTAACATTAAGGTAGGAGAGGGCTACACCCTTGGGGGTAAGTGGAGTGGTGTGTGTGGGGGTGGAGCATTGTTAAATGTTTTAATTTTAAGTTTGATGACAATAAATCTTATGTATAAGAAATTATCACATAGCACCTCTCTGCTACTGTGCTCCCTGAAAACAGGGTTAAATACTTTTAGAGAAACTTATTTTAAGTTTTCAATAATTTTTTAATGACTTTCTAATTTTCATATTTGGAAAACTCTAGGAAAGTGCTCAAAAGTTTAAGAACATAATACATTAAGCAGCCAGACTGCCTACTTACTAAATTTTAACTTGGCATTCCAGGCCAAATATTCCTTCCTAACCCATTAAGGCAAAAACTGACCCCAAATTAATTACATAAAATAAAACCACAAACAAAAAATGTTATTAAGAAAGGTGAAAGACAACTAATGTTTCAAAAATAGGACAAAAGAAAAAAAGGGGGTGGTGGAAACCAAACATGAAGCTGTAAAACCCCTCACCTAATCTCATAGGTCCCTCCCCTCTACTCCCCCCCTCTCTTCCCCCCTCCCGCCCCCAACCTTCATTATGCCCTGCACTGCTGAAATGGCCTCATGGCAAGCATAGTCCTTAAGGGACTGAAACACTGTGCCATTTAAAAATTTTAACCTGCTATTTAATTATTTTAATAAATTAGGCCATTAAAGCAATGAGCATTTGACATTCATGATAAAATATTCACACTTAGTAAACAAATTAGAAGACAATTAACATTCAGTTTCATTTCCAAGTCAGATAACTCTATTGATGACACAATATAAGGTCAAACAATGCACTTTTTATTCATTAAGAGTTTAACATCCCATTAAAAAACAACTAATAAGCACAGGTCAGGTGACTCAGGTGCCACTTCTGTCATCTAGACATGAATACTTTCAAAACATACTTTCAAGACCTCTCACAAGGCATTCACAGCGTGGCCTGGCGCAGCCTGACTCAGGTCAGGAAGGTCAATCACAGTCACTGGAGTGGGCTGGATTAGGGACCAGGCCTGATGGTTTTAACATCTGCAAAATGCAATTTGGGACAGAAATAACAATAAATTAGGAAACCAGCAAATAATCACTATATTGTTTAGGGAAAGAGAAGATCAATAAAGATTTAAAATTCAAATGCTTTTTGGTAGTCAAGAAGGTATGTAAAGTGAGAAGAGGGAGGAGGTGATAGCATAGGGAGGGGCAGCAGCTATGTAATTTGGGGATGCAGCCCCCTGCCCAAAAGAGAGCCACTTAAATAAACTTAACCCAGGTCTGGTCAAACAAATCCAGTACCTGATTTGGCCCGCAAGGGCATCAGTTTGAAGCCCCTGACTTTTACTACTGTCAGGCCTCAGGTACCTATCCATGGAGTTTTAGTTTAGGACTCTTAAATCCTAAAAAAGATAATAGCCCAGAGCAGAATAGTTCAAGCATTAAAAGTGACAGGCAGTGACCATTAGTGGACAGGCAGGTTAAGTATAAGAAAAGTTTAGATACTGAAACAGCAAATAGGGCTCCAGTTAAAGTGAAAACAGAAGTTCTACGACTTAATTTAAATTACAGAACTATTATTACTTACACTCCCCCTAAGGGGAGCTGGACTGGGGAGAGCAGGGTCAAGATACCCTATTCTTGACACCTGAAAGGACACACAACATAAAACAGCGCCAAGCCACCTGGGACAGATGCCACCTGTACATATGAAAAAGAGTTCACAGTTAGTGAGTTTAGAAATTAAATACATTTGATTAATTACATAACTAAAGAAGACTTTTAATTATGACTCTCCACAATGACTTTTAAAATGCTCTATTCTCCAACACACCAAAGAGCTAAGTAACCAAAACTCAGCTCATCTTAAACATCCTAGTAAGAAATGACAATCTATTAAGCAACTCTTAATTGCTTGACATTTTAAATGCCCAACTTTCTTTTTTAGTACTGTTTATGAGACATAAGTTCTAATAATATGCACAATTTTACCATTGTTTTGAATCTCTTTTTAAGTACAGGCACAGAATTTCTAAAGAGAAGGGAGACAGGATGGAAGGTAGGCAAAAGGTCCCTTACTAAACTATTATTACTTACACCCCCCTTCCCCTAAAGAGGAGCTGAAGGGGGGTGGGGTGGGGGGGTGGAGAGCAGGGTCAAAATACCCAATTACTGAAAGCTGTAATTATGCCATCACAGATTGTATATACTTGTTTGGTGTGGTGTGAGATACCTGGAACATAAAAACTCCAGTGCCGCCCCCCCCCAGGTTCTGATTCATTGTTTATAATATGTAGAACCAGGTTTTTAATTTCTTCATTTATTAGAAACTTAAACATGGTACATCTTTCTGGCTGAAAGGCACACATTTCTTTTATAATCCATATTTAGTAATATAATTACCTTACATGAATTTAAAATTAACAGGTACCATTCAATAACATACAAGCTACAAATTTAAATAATTAGCTTTTGCTTTAAGTAAGCTAATTATTTTGAGTATTTTAAAATTAATTTGTATAATTACAGCTTGCATTATTGGAGTTTAAAATGGCATGCTTTCTTCTCATTTCTTTTTTAAAAAGTCTGTTACTGGTGAGAGAAGGTAAAGATGCTTTGGCTAATCCAGGACAACGAAACACCAAAGGAAGGTACCAGGAGCAAGAAGCCAAAAAACTCCCTTAGAGACCACGAAGACAATGAACAAACCAATTTATTTTGACCATTTAACACATATTTAATGAATGCCTATCATGTGCCAGGCACAATTAATAAATATGTAGGAAAGTTAGCCAGGGCCAATCCCCTAGAGTTCCAAGGGGGAAAAAAAAAACCGACCAGCATTAGAAGTACACAGATAAATGCCTCATACTGCTCAAAATCCAAGCCCATCGCACCTATAATCCACTCCCAACTCCTCCGAAACACAACTCAAGTTGTTCATATTTTGTTTCCATTTTATTTTGTATCCACTTTCAGCAAGATTCGCCACATAGGTCTACTAGTGTCTCAAAACAACAATCCCAAGCCAAACAAAAAAAACCTTAAATGTTAAAGTATTTTTATTCACTTGTAGTGAAACATGTGGCTGTACTGCTCTTAAAAGTGCCAGCCTTTTAGTTTAGAAGCACTATTGATAACCCACCATCAGTTTAAATTGTGGGGTTATGTTGTTTTAATATGCAAAGCGCCTGTAAAAAGTGTTCAAATGTTAGGGATAATTACTATTATTAATATTCTTATTTATTATTCTTATGTTTATTATATACTAGTGGATAAAAAACAAAAACGACGCACGACGCAGAAAAGAAACCGCAGGAAGGCGGGGCTGTACAGCCAGGCTCAGACCTTGAAGGCACGCAAGCTCAGAGGAGGTGGGCCGTGGTGGTGGTGGGGGGGTGGAGGGGCTCGCACTGCGCAGGCGCAGGGGGCTCTGGGGGAGGCGGGGCTGTGAGCCACCTCAGAGGAGGAGGCGGGCTCAGGGAGGGGCCAAGCTATGGTGAGGCGGGGTCTGGGTAGGCCACCTCATAAGAGGCGGGGTTGGGGACAAGAGGGGGTCTGGGCAAGCCACCTCAGAGGAGACTGACTGGGGAAAGGTGAAGGTTTGGGTGAGCAGCCTCAGAAGAGGCGGGTCGGGTGACATGGGGTTTGAGGGGAGCCCCCATCTGAGGAGGCGGGGTCTGGGGGGCGGGTCTAGAAGGCGCGCTCCGAGTAGGCGCGGGGCCGAGGAGGCGCGCTTTGAGTAGGCGCTGGGAGGCGCTAAGGCGGCTCTTAGCAGATACTGCAGAGAGGGCGCGCTAGAATGGGCGGGGCAGGCCTGAGACTGGCTGCAACCTCTCCCAGGATCCCCCCTCCCCAAACCCCTCCCACCAGTCTCCAACAGCAGATTCATTTCGTGCAACGAGAGCAATCACCTCCAGATCCAATCTTCCCCCCACCCCCATACAAGGCAAACCAACAGCTTCCACAAACTGTTGCTGGATGCCAATTCGCGCCACCACTACTACACTGCCACTCAATCAAGCACAACTAGCAAGGCAGCAGTTCTGCCAACGCCAAAAATTCCTTTTTACACTAAATCAGCGCCCCTCCGCTCTATTGCAATAGCAGAAATGGTGTGGGTAGAATGTTAAACACTAATTTTTGCCCGGGGCTCCATTTTGTCTAACAGCACCATCATGCAGAGAACCGTCCTGCAGAAAAATATAGTGGGAGCCATTCCAAAAGGTGTGTTAGAGACAAAGGGTGGGGTCTCCCTCTAAAAACGACAGAGTAAGCTTACTTTGCAGCTCGTTTCTCTACAGTTGGTATATTTGTGGCGCAAAACAGTGCAGTTTATGTACCTCTGCAGCTGTTATTACTTTGTAGTGCATTTTAGGTGTAGTAAATTGGTCTGCAGCTCATGGACCTCTGCAGTTCCTGTGCTTGGTAGTGCAATGAAGCGCTGCTGTAGTGCTAATCGTACGCATTTTTGCAGCATTAATCCCCTGCAGTTTAGATTTTGTAGCTCATTTAGAGCGCAAATCAGCGGTTGGTCTGCAGTTCGTGTACAGCTGCAGCTTAAACTGGTTAGTAGCGCCAGCTAAAGTGCCCATCAGTTTGTAGCGCATTGAAGCGCCCATCAGTTTGCAGCGCATTTGAAGCGCTTATTAGTTCCTACCACATTGAAGCGCCCATCAGTTCATAGCACATTTGAAGCGTTATCCGTTTGTAGCGCATTGAAGCGCCAATTAGTTTGTAGCGCATATCACTTTATAGCTCATTTGAAGAGCAAATTGCAAGTCGGTCTGTAGCTCAAGTCGGTCTGCAGCTCATGTTTGTCCGCAGCTCATGTCTGTCTACAGCCAGTATCTCCAGAATTGGGTCCTAGAAATCAAAGCCCTGAAGGCTTGGCGTCTCCACTCTGTTTTGGGGAACAGCCAGTAAAGGCGTGACAAGGTTTATGTGGAGACATTCAGGGGCACTACTCCATCTCCCACAGATCCCAATAACAGGGAATGAATGTAATCTTAAGAAGAAAAACATCCTCACCGCATACTCACCACGCGTGGACTCCTCTGCGAAGATAGGAAGGACCGGGTCCCACACCTGCCAGGCGTGGGTTCCGCTGGGTGCTTCGCAGCCCGGAGTGGCTCCGGGGCGAGCCCGCTCAGCGGACCTTTCGCGAGGCTCGGTGGACCCTCTCCGCTGTTCTCCCGAGGGCTCAGTCAGGTTTCTTCGACACACACCAACCGAAGTTGAAGCGCGTGTACCCGGAGCGCCGACTGGGAGCCTTATATAGGCTGAACAGAGGAGGGGGGCGCCAAATCCCAGCGTGCTCCGCGGGTTAGGGGGGCGGAGGGGGGGAGTTGAGTAGGGGGGGATGGGGGGGCGATGGCTATGCTACATCAGTCTGCCACTAGAGGGAGTACGGGAATAAGGAGGGGGTGCAGGATGCTGATGCTGAACTGGCCAAGCTGGGAGGAAAGAAGAAAGGGAGGGGAGGGAGAATCGAGGACGGCTGGCCTAGGCAGGCCAAGAATGCAATTGCCCCGCTGGTGGGAGCTGGGACACCCTTGTGCTTGGACGGGACGGGGTCGGGGGACACGCAGGATGAGCCCCGCAACCACTGGCACCTTCTGGCTGACAGGTTAGTGGTCTTCGCGCGACGGGAGGTCCTGGGGCCAACAGGCCGTCGCCTCCCCATCCCCCCGCCTTGGATTTTGGATAGCTGGGCACATTTTCTGGGCATGAGCCCCCCTTGCCAGCCTCATCCCCATTGCACCCCTCCCTCGGGACATGGGGCACCTCACTCCCTGTGCTCAGTGCCTCCCAAGCTTGACCCCTGGCCTTTTTTTCAATGCGCCCCGGCGGCCCCTCCCTGTCCAGAACACGCAGAAATTCCATCCCCAGTTTTTTTTTAACCAATTCAAAGCCCCCCACATCCCTTTAGCTCCGGTTTCTGCTGCAAAAAGCTAGGGGTTATTGCCCATTGGGGGTGGGGGGGCTGCCGTTATCTAAGATTAGGGTTCTGCGGCCCCTGGACCCTTAGGAAACTGCGTCCACTCTACGCAAACATGTCTTTTCTCCTTTCCTTGAAACCTATCAGGGAGAACATTAAAATGTACGTTTGAAACCCCTGTTCTCCCCTTATTCTTTAAAGTGCATTTCTGGGCAGCGGAAATCCCAGTTTTCTTACGTTTTGCGGAGGAGGGAAGCAGAATCATGAAATGCTAGGAGCTAAACAGGGCATTCAGGTCAAGCTTCTCCCTGCCGGGTGCCAGAACTCCGCAAACAGCACCGTATGACCCACCGAGTGCAATATTTCGAGAAAGCAAAACATTCAAAAGCAGCTGTGGATGCCTCCAATGAACTTGGTGAGCTAAGGAGGCTCCCAGCTATGGCTTTTTGGTGGTGATTAGGTTTATGCAGACATTAGCTCTCCCTGCAACGCTAAATCTTGTGGGGTGAATGCATACTTTTAGTTAAGGTAACTGCACATTTAATCATTTTAACATGTTGCCAAGATTCAGCCACAAATATTTATGTGTGTATTTTAGGTTAGAGGCATTAGCAATGAGTTGCAAAACTCAAAAATATGGTTGAGGAAGGATTCTTCAAGCAAACAAACAAACAAAACTCCTAAAAACCCTTAACAGGGATTTAATTTTTAGCTCCCAAATGTTAGGCACTGAGAAAACTGAATCTGTTGATAATATTTGTAAAAGAAGTTTAGGTATAAATGAAGAACCAAATTGTCTACAGCTGTATGAGATTCCTGAAACACGGGTGAAACACATTAGTATCTGAAGGTTAAAGTTGAGCAGTTTTAATAACATTGCTAAGATGATTTTATAGTTAAAGAAGAAATAAGAATTTGACCTACTGTAGATGACAGGGGTTTCAGGGATTGTACTTAAAGCAAGCCTTTCTAGGAATAAACGAAACTATAGCACAGTGACTAAGATTTTACCCTTTTTTTTTTTAATCAGAAATAAGATGTTGACCATCAGAAATATGAATCAAATGCAGATTTCCAACAGCGAAAGATGTTTTTCTAGGAAGTTGGGTGAAAACAATTTCACGTTTTAAAAGTGTCTTTAAATCTTTAGGATATTCACTCTTTTCTGCAAGATAGGAGAGTTTTAGAATTTCTTACGTTTGTTCTTGTGATGGCCAGTCTCTTAAATTCTTAGCCTGCTTTTTCATCCTGAGAAATTACCTATTTGTTATTGATAAACATTCCCTTTCTAAAAAATGAGTTAGAAGACCAGTATAGATAGAAAATTAAGTTTAAATATCTATTCCTTGACTTTTTAACTTTGAGCAAGTTTGATTCAATTTGATGTTTTATTTCAAAATGTTAATCAGAATTTTTCTTTGTAAATAAGTGTTATTTTTATAATAGCACTCCCAATTGTTTGTACAAATTCAGGAGGAAAACTTAAGAAAGCTGGGGGGAAAAAAAAAGAAAATCAAGACCACCTGTAACAATTTATTCCAAGATGACTCCAGTTAACCATATGGAATTTGCTTGTTTAGAATTGCTTCATGCATATAGATAGACCTAGTAATAAACATGCCTAGTGGCATGTTTATAAGTTTTTGAACCCAGTTAAAAATGGGTTCAAATTAATTTCCTTCCAAGGAAAGGCTAAATAACATTGTTTGCAGAGTTTTTTTCATAAGGGATCTACTATTAGTGACTTTTCCTAATTAAAAATTTAAATGAACAACCTTAGTACATATTTAAAAACTAGAGAATTAGTGCATATCTATTCTAGCACATTATTGCTTATGATTTTTGTGTAACTCCATGTGTCTTTTTATTCCAACACATGAAAAAAATTTACTTATCTCAAAACATTATCTCCTAAGGGGGTGGGGAAGGTAAGTAGTTTAGGTAAAAATGTTTATCTAAAACAGTATTATAAATCAAGCAAAATATAGCATTTTTGTGTTAACTAAAACCACAAGCCATTGCAGACTACCCCAAACTTTAATAGATAAGGATTTCAAACACTTTTTTGCTATTTTGTATTTACAAATAAATGTAAAATTTACATTTTAAAGTAAATTTTGGATTTTTCTCAGATATTTTTTTCCCAGTATTATTTCGTAGCCATTTTGCACAAAGTTATATGCAAAGTAAGATAAGTGCAAATGGGCATTATATATTTTGTCAAATAATAAACAGGAATTATATTTACACATTTTAATCATTTTTATAAGAATATGCCTTGACTCTATGAATCTGTTGATGTGGTGGGAAAATGCTATTTTAAAGCAAAGTGGGATTTTCACCTGTTAAATAGTAACTAGACTTTCTATTTGGTCAAGTTACCTATTTTATGAGTTTGCTATGTATGCTATGAATCTGAATATTTCATGTATTTAGCTTAATTTCTAGAATAATGGGAAAATTATATTTCTAAACAAAGTGGATTTTTCTGTTGGTAAATAAGTGGACTTTTTAGTTGTGTACTGAATCCATTTTTAAGGACAATTTCCTGTGCCTCTCTGAACTTGCTTATTTACTGCATGTATTTGGCTTAACTTCTGATATGGAAGGGGAAATTATTTCTAAGCAAAGTAAGATTTTTAGTTATCAAGTAACAACTGGATTTGCTAGTTGGACATTTTATCTATTTTTATGACATCTTGCTGTATACCTCTGAATTTGCTTTGCTAATTTACCCACCCATTTGACTTAACTTTGAGTATGGTAGGGAAAATTTATTTCTGAGCAAAGTAAAATTTTCAGTTGTCAAATAGGTAGTAACTTAACTTAGTATTTGATCATTTTATTCATTTTTAAAGTTTGTCATAATTCTAAAAAGTGTTGATCAACATAATAACTTTAGGTTAATTTCCAGTATGGTGTATAAATTGTACTTCTAAGCGAAGTGGAATTTTCACCTTTCCCTCATACATAGAAAATAGGGACAACACCAGAGAAAACTGGTAAAGGACAATCTCAAAGAGATCAAGCTATCATGTATCCAGCGTCTGACACTGGTTTTCTACCGGGGAAATCACGCTTTAAACAAAATGCTGAAGCAGTGAGGAAATCTTGACTTGTTAAAAAAATTCTCAATCAAGTATTTTCAGATTGTTTGGCATTCTAAGTGCAGTTGTTTCTAGGTCACATTTTCTCCAAAATAACAAACTATGGCATTTACTCTCTGAATTTACTCTATTTGACCCATTTACTTAAACTTCACCTTTACCTCTGTTCTAAAACCCAAACTGCAAATTGTTTTTTAATCTTATTTCCTACACTTAGTGTAAAAAGGATTATGTGTATAGATGATGTAGGTATATGTGTCCACTAGGCATTCTTAGGCTGGACCTTTGTTTTAATTCAGAGCTTCACAGAAATATTAACATGAAGCTCTTCTCCCCCCCCAACCCCCCCCCCCCCAATCCATTCCAGCCTCTTCAGCAGAGATGGAATCCGAAAGGACAAACCGACATGGACAAACAGGCAGTTATATACACATCTGCAAAAATCATTCCGAGTTTCTAAACTCAGGATCCTCTTCTCTATATTGCTGGCTCCCCGATTTCCAGAAATGTTAGACCTAATGCAGTAATGAAGATTTCAGTAAAAGGAACTGCTGGTGTTTCTAAGAATCAACAAGTCTTTTCAAAGGATTGTTTTTCTGTTTGGGGTTCTCAGGTTGGCGGGATAAGAAGGAGTCTCAGTGCTGTTAAAACTGTTTCACTGTTTACAAGCAAAATATTCTAAACAAAATGCCCAGTGTCTTAAACATTTTAAACAATGTAACTATAGGCACAGAGTATCAAATAAAAACACAATCTCTAGTCTGACTCTAGAATAAACATTTCCATAGATTCCTCCCTCCTAGTTTTTGTTCCATATGCACACATATTTTTACATGCTGTGGTTTTAATATGAGTAGGTTTTTTTTTTAATGTTTTGAAGGATAAATTAATCTTTAGCAAACCATTTGTCAGGGCTGCAGGATGCTTTTCTTTGTGAGATGATGTGTAGACTAATTAACAAGACTGCTTTGTGAAAAAGATGAGGCTGGCTGTACCATCACGGCCAGGTGCTTGGGACTAGCCAGGTGTTTGGGACCAGGATTGGTACCTGGTGAAAAAATCACAAACCTTTAACTTGAGTTGTCTCATCAACATCTTTATAACTGACTTTGATTGAGATTCAGTCGCTTGCTTTAAAGTCTAGGGATGATTTAAAAAGGGAAACGGCTACAGATGAATAGAATTCAGAGTTAGCATGGTTT